GACCGCTTGCGTCACAGCCTCCTTTATTTCTGTCTTGGTATTTCTGGATAGGCCAAGATTAACCTTGGCCTTCGTTACGCATGCCCTTGCCTCCGCCAACTTCGTGGCATATTTTGGGGGACTTGTCGGGTCTGTGAGGTCTGTCGGGTCTTTTCGGGTCACCACTTTTGTGTCTTTGGTAAAGACTATCCTTTTTGCTGGCCCTTTTGCCTTTTCTGGGGTGCGGATGCGAGTGGGTTTTACTTCCACTCTTCCTTGCTCCCAGTCGCCGATACTCCTTCTTACGTTAGAAGTATTTTCAGGCGAGGAATCGGTCCGTGGTGAGGGTGCCCTGTCACGGTGTGAGGCTGCGGTGCGGTCAACCTTCCTGTCTGGTGTTCTGATCCCAAACATCCTGCGGTGTGTCAGGGGTGAGTATATATATTTAATTTAATTCTAGATTTTCTGGGTCAGAAGACCCAGCGTGTCCTGATTTGGGTCAATAAACCCCGTCACACCTAACTTAACCTAGCACTGGGGGCAATAACCCGCTCAGTGTGTGTATAACTAAGACTAATTATTGAGGGTAATAACCCCGTCAATAATACTAATACTACTTAAATCTAATATTGCCGGCAATAAGCCCAGTCAATATGTCCGTCGGCTAAATTCGACTTGACTAGTTTTCCTATCTATTTACAGCTCTAAGTGTTAGCCTAGTTAAAAATAAAATAAAAAGTAAAAAATAAAATAATTAATAATTTTAAAAATAAATAAATCCAAAAATAATAAAATAATTAAAATCTCAAAAATTTTCAAACCCTCCAACTCTCAAATGTAAAATGTTAAAATGTAAAATGCAAAATATAGTTAAAAGACTAAAAACTAAAAATTTAAAAATTTAAAAATTTTTCAAAGTTAAGTTTGAAAATCCAAAAAAATCCAAAATTCCCTGGAATTCCGGAAAACCCAAAATCCCAAGCAATTGAGGATCAAGAATTTAAAAACTCAAAATTTCAAAATTCCCAAATTTCTAAAAGTCAAAAAAAAATAAAAAATAAAATAAAATTCAATTAAAATTGGAGTTTGGAAAGTTTCAAAATTTCAAAGATCAGAAATTTAAAAATTTAAAAATTTTAAAAGTTTAAAATTTAAAAAAGTTAAAAATAATTAAAAATATAAAAATTTTCAAAAATTTAAAACCTTAAAAGCAATAATAATAATAAAATAGAATTTACAATTAACTTATTAACTAGGCTTAAAAACTCTTAGAACTATATCACAGTATGTCTATTTAATAATACTAATAATAATAAAAGTTAAAAGAAACAAATTTAAAAATTTAAAATAAAACAAATAAAATGACTAAGTAGAAAACAATAACAAAGTCGTCAAGTCGTTAACCTATAAACCTATAAACTACTGACCTACTTCCGAGCGGTGCAGCTGCGCGGTGACTAAGTTGTTTACGTGTTTTCGATCCGGGTTTTACGTAATTTGAATTCAAATTTAGGTACCCTAAATAGTCACTTTTTTCAACCGTTTTTTAGTCTATATTGTTCGTGCCACTTAAAAAATATGTCCTACACAATAACATCTACACTTAATTAACACTTAGGGTCTCTAACAAACACTTAAAGTTTTTCTAAAAATATGTCCGTTTTCAAAAAGCAATTGCACCGAAAATACAAGTCCGAAAAATCCGAGCGAGGTATCAATTTACTCGTCCTTTTAAGCCCTATCCACTAATAAAATAAAAACAATATGTCCTCGCTTAAAAACTAAAGTTATGATTTTTTGAAAAACAGTCACTTTTTGCATAAACTTTCCGGGTTAAAAACTCCTAAACTACTAGTCCAAATTAAAATCTAAAAACACTGTCTTTTTCGGCACTTGATTGTCTACTTAAAACACTATGTCACGGCTCTTCAGCACCTCCGGATCCAGG